CTAGTTTCATGAACACATCCGCATCTGTGCCGGCCAGGGCTTCGATGCCAGTGTACACTGTCACTGAGTACTCTTTGACTGTAAAAAGAAGATAACGGATATGAGAAACAAAAGAGATAGAAGCCAAAAACTTGGTTCGGACATGAAAAAGAAGTAGCCGTGTGTTATACATACTTGGTCAGATATAAACGTGGTCAGGTAAAAATCATGTCTAAAATATTTAATTAAAAAGTTTCGGTTAGATGATACATGTATTTTTGTAATAAACTCAAGAATAGAAATCTCGAAACACGATTCTAGCTAGAACATTTTGATAAAAGTTCCTCATTTGATGCACTTTTAGCGATGTAAAAGAACCTAATTTTTTTTTTTAAAAAGCAGTAAGAGCGTCTTTTCGGTGTTTCAAGAGATCTGCGTGGAAATGAATCCACCATTTGCAAACATCAGACAATCATTCCTGCACAAAAATGATAAAAATTGTAATCCACCGACTTTTGGTCGGTTCGTCTCCTCCAGCAACCAGTGTTCTCTCAGTCTGTTTGTCATCTATTCCGTCTCCCAGCCACTCCCCACAGTAGAACACCGTCTCATCCCCATCACGATCGACCACAACCTACACAAAACACAGAAATGATACAAAAGACCAACCGACGAAGCTACAACTACTTGGCTTTGAAATCTCTTTTTGGACCAATGTAAGAGCAGTTTTAAAGAAACAATACTATTGAACCTACTGATGAAAAAACGTTAAAAACATCAAAATAACACCTTAATTAGAATAGATTTTACAAAAAATGGACCAAACGTTGGCTTATTTTTCTATTACTGAAAATTCAACGCAATTGAGGTCAAATTGAGGTCAAGTCTCACAGTCAACTCAGCCTCACCTTCTCCAGGAACCATGCAGACTTGAACCCACTTCCATCATGGGATATCTTCAGTTTTTCCAGTTTACCCAACTCCTTCATCTTCAGTTCAAAAGTGTCCTGCATGCCCCTTGAGAAACTGTCCTCTTCCCTTTCCAGTTCTATCTCCCCCGACTCCCCCTCCTCTCCCATTAGGGTCAGTTTGACCTGTGCTTCGGTGCCTGCTCCCGCCTCGTCCCCAGTGAACAGGGTTATTTTGTAGTCAATTCCTGGAAACAATAACAGATGATTATAGAAGAAAAACTTTGGAAAACCAACACCGTTGAATGTCCAGTATGTTTGCTTCCAACAAAAGCATTAATGAGAGTTAAATTTTTCCTTATGATAATTTTTTTTTTAAAAAGAGCAGAAACATACCATTTGCTTCATAATGAGCCTCTAGTTATAACTCATTAAGGAAAGCAAATAATATCTCTTCATTTTAAGTCTAAAACTATGAGTTTAAGTCTTTTTTTATGAGACACATTGAATCAAAACAGTCGTGAGTTAGAGCAAAACTTCTCAAACGTTTGCTAAATCTAATCAATTACAACTATTAGATGCAGATGGATTTTACCTGGGACAGACTCTTGAGCTAGAAAAACAAATACAGCTAATCAGTGGTTTCAATCTGTGTTATGTGATTTAATAGTTCAGCCAATCAAAAAACTAAGTCTCCCTTTTCAAATCAGCAACGTTATCAAAATGAATGAATTTTTGAAAAAAATTCCCATAAAACTTGGAAAACCCAGGTCAGCCAAAAAATGCAAGGAATTGCCACTGCTTCCAAACTAAGAGAGCATATAATTTGCCTCCGGGTTTTTTTCTGAGAAGTTAATCCAGTCGCTATTTTGGCGACTAAGGATTGCCGTAAGTTGCTTGCTGATGTGATTTAAGCTTACCAAAGGCCGGCAACCAGAATAAGTAGGGGTTCTTTCTAGGTGATTTGAATGGGTGAATTACGGTGATGTGAACTGTTAAAAACAGCGGATACACAGGCTGGAGTGCTCAACAGTTGTCAATTCCAGCAGAGGTGAATAATCAGACTATGAGGATATTTTTGGATACCTACCTTCGTTAGGAAATAAGATACGTTCGACTTTGGCATCATCTTTGCTGTCGGACAACCACTTGTTACACAGGAACTCAACCGACTCTCGTCCTTTTGTAATCACAATCTGAACGAAACAAAGACCGACATTCCAAAACAAGAAGAAAAAAACTATTTAATAACTTTATTCAGTCTGGAATGTGGGGAAATATGCAAGCAGACTATGCTTAGACAGGCCTGATAGCCTTTCAAACTTTTCCTTCCTATAATCTCAACTTCAGTTTCTTAATTTCAGCTTATAGCAGATAATATGCATACTTAGAGACATTATGGTTTCGACTTTCGAAGAAAATGACGGAAAATTTGCGCTCGGGGTGTTTTTTTTCCACACAAATTTTAACCAGCAATTTTTGACACAATTTTTTTACATCATTCGAAAGCTACTGTTGACCTGAGCTCAAATTTGAAAAGATATCTTTCATATGATTATTTTTCGTAGAGTTATGGGTGTTTAGAGATCGCCAATTTGGGATAATTAAAGCGCGATATATTTCGTGCTATTTACGCGTAAGCGGAAACTTATTATCCGTACTCGAAATCGTTCCAAGTCGAATTGAGGGACGCTTTGGTCCATTTAAAATTTTTTATATGCAAAATATATCATTTTGTACTTTACATAGCGTGTGGGAAGATACTTTTCAAAAAAACATCAAAAAATTGTTTTTTGAAAATTTTCAATTTTTTTGAAAATTTAATCAACTATTTTATTTTAAATTTTCCAAAAAAATTAAAACGCAGTCAAAACAATCAAAACTTCGCCCTTATACGAGCAGTATTGTTTCCATTCTCAAGACAGAGATCGAAACAATATCGGAAATTTGAGTTCTTAAAATGGATTTTTTTTAAATGATTGTTTTTAAATTAGAGATTTTTTTTAAAAAATCATACCATATAAAGTACAGAGTGATAGATTTCGCTCCTAGTAACATAGCAATTACAGCAAACAGCCTGCTTCCACCAATTTGTAACAATTTCTAAGACGGATTAAATCTCCGCTCGCGCGTTAATAGCGCAAAATATATCGTGCGTTAATTGTCCCAAATTGGCCGAAATGGCAATCTTTAACCTCCCATAACTTTACGATCACAGGCGAACAAATGATCACAGGTAAAATATCTTTTTTTAATTTGAGCTCAGGACAACAATAGCTTTCAGATGATCTAAAATCCGTCCAAAAATGGCTAGTTAAAAAATCAAAGTTTGTCTGAAGAAAAAAACCACCCCGAGCACAAATATTCCGTTCCGTCACTTTTTTCGAAAGTCGGAACAATAAAACTCATACCTTCTTTAGGAACCAGTCTGATCCGAATCCACTTCCATCATGCCACACTCGCACTTTCTCCAGTTTGCCTAACTTGGGGCACTCTATCTTGTAAACACTGTTCCTAAAACAAACAGAAAATATGTACTAGGTTGGATGCTGCAATAAGAAGCTTTGACACTCTAATAGGCAAACAATCAAACAATGTAAATAACACGGTCGATTATTGTTAGTTTAAACTAGAATCGCGAAAGCTCATCAATTGGCACGAAAAATACTGGGTTTTTCTTCAAAACATTTTCAAATCGAAGATTCCGGGAACAGTCAAAAATAATAATAATAAAAAAACGATTTATTGAATTTTAAAAAATTATGCCTAGCAGAAGCACCCCGATATTTTTGTCAAAAAATGGAGCAGATTGGATTGATTTGTAAGCTGGTACGATTTTGGAAAAACACGACAATTTCTGGAACGATGGGATTAATACGCAATTCATCACTCACGAGTCTTTTTCGAAGTCATCTTTTCCGTCCGTATTCAAGTACTTCACACCCGAGTTGTTATCTTCGCCATAGATTTGGATGAACACATTTGCATCAGTACCAGCCCCATCCTCACTCCCAGTATACACTTTCACGTCATAAGAAGTTTCTAGAATAAAATTGCACTTTATAATATAGATTTATTTGAAAAAAATAGCATCAAATACGAGCAATTGCATTTACAAATTGGATTAAAATGAATTTAAAAATCAGCGGGATAATCTGTTCAAAACTTATTAAAAAATCTGGAAATAAAAATTGCTCAAAATCGTTGAAACGTCTGATAAGTTCAAAATTCGTTCAAGATGATGATCATTATATATCAGACAGAAAAAATCTTCTAAGATGACTCTAAGCATCGGCGGATCTAGAATTTTCTCGAGGATTGGGGAGGGGAGCGGACTTTCAAAAAAAGTTTTTGAAAATTTAGTCTAGTTTTTTTTTAGGTCCAAATAATAGATTTTCCGAGCTCTCCCAAAACACTATGAAGGCCCCATTTTGAGCAAAAAAATTGATTTAAAAAGAAAAAAAACTGGTCAAAAAACTTTTTTGGATAATTTTGAAAAGAATTGTTTTTTTCACCGCGCGCTCCACCTCAAAATTAGTATATGTAGGCGCCTTTGGAAAACATTTAGGGTTGTCCAGTCTAAAAATTGATGTCATAAAATAATACAAAGGGGGCCCTTTGGCTGGCGAGGAGGTAATGTTATAAGCAAACTAAATTGATGGCATTTCCTTCTCCTGAAAACGAAGTTCTTATTATCATGTCAACAAACGATTTGTCCCAGGTTGATGTTCGAAACAAGGCAAAGGCTTCAAATCAGTTTAAAAGTGAGAGAACCGGAAGAAAGGGAGAGGCGGGCAGTTGAGAGTAACTCTCTCCGTGAAGCAACCTATTGTAAGAACTCTTTCAAGGCGACTCACCGGGGGGACTTGCATCTAGCATCTTGGACAATTTTTTATCCTCCATATCATCTGAGAGCCAGTCGTTGCAGTAGAACACAGACTGGGACACCTTTGGGGACCCACCAATGACCACGATCTGAAACATAAGGGCGATGATTGAAATTATATTACAATTAGTGTATAGTCGTAATGACGGTAGAATTAAAAGTGCTCCTTGATAATCTAAAATCACTATTGCTCCATTTAGCAAATTTAAAAGAAAAAAATTGAGGTTTGACTGCGTAGTTTAACTTCTTGTAAAGGACATTTTTGAAAATTTTGTGGTTATTATACCGTAAAAAAAAACGTTTTTCGCCGCATAAGAATGACAAGAAAAATAGCAAAGACCTATAAAAATACACAACTGGACAAAACGGAAGCCTTCTAAGTGATAAAAGCTACATAGACTCAGATTTTCATAAATCTGCAAATTAAGTTCATATTTATGATATGGATAGTTCACACACACCAAGAAAGGGTCCAATCAAATTACCTTTTCCAGGAACCAGGAAGAACACAATCCACTGCCGTCGTGCCACACCTTCAGTTTCTCCAGAGTTCCCAGGTTGGGAGACTGGACAATATAGCTTCCCTTGCTAAACACAAACAACCCAGCAATATTAATAGTAACAGTTGTTTTGTTCGATTTTCACTGTCGGAATTAAGGGTACAAAACTTCGCCGACCATCCAAAGGTTATGGGAAAACAATTTTGTTGAACTGCTGGCTTCGGACATTTTGACGCAAATCTTTTATATATCTTTCTAATCTTAATGATACCTCGATAAATTTAAGTTTTATTCAAACCAGTTAACACTTAACAGCGCTAAAATAAAAATTTAAACTATTGCCTCAAACAAAAAAAATGGTTTTTAAAGACTTTTTTTCAAAGTCAGCAGGTTTTTAAATTGAAGAAAAAGCTGCTGAATTCATTGTTAATTGTTACAGGATTGCTTGTATTTCTGTCCAGCGGTGGCCCTGCTTGCTCTCAAGCAAGAAAGTTCAGATTATTATTGAAATCGCACAACTTTACCCAAGCAAATGATTTTCGGTAATGACATTTTTTCCGGGCTAATCAATGGAAAAACATCTACACGTGACTTTTCAATCAACCTGCAGGTTACACTAACCTGGCCCTTTCGAAATCATCTCCTGCTTTTTCCAGCAATTTGGTGCCAGATTTGCCCTTCTTTCCATACATGCAAATGAAGACATCTGCATCTGTGCCTGCGCCTTTCACTGAGCCAGTGTGCACTGTCACCGAATACTTAAGGGCTACAAACACAAAGAAAGTGTGACTCGAAACTAAACTCAGTGGTTAGTAAAAAAGCAAAAAATTAAAGATTAAGCAAGGATAAACAGTTGTTGTGCAAGTAGCACAGAATGTTCCGATCATAGTCTTAAAAAAATAGAATTTATCTGTGTGGTGTGATAAAAAATCTGAACGAAAGAATAAAAAATCGGCAAATGCGACAATCATAGTCAAATCGGCCAACTGAAAAACAGTTTGTATAGAAAAATGGCTAAAAAATATAAAATCAATTTTTGAAAATTTCCTCAAAAATTTTTTCCAATTTTTTTTGCAGAAATTTTTTGAATATTTGAAAATTTTGATTCCCAAACTGGCGCTAAAAATTCCTGGCTCTTGAAGTTTTTGATTCCCAAATTAGCGCAAAAACTAACTGTACTCGAGTAAAACTAAGGTTTTACGGCTTAATTTAAGCTTAAATAGATTTTGTAAGCCTGCACGCTCACCTTATTTGCCCAAAATTAGAGCAAAATCAAAAGTTTCAAACCTCTTTTTCTCGACACCGAGAAAAAAATTTTCCCTCATTTTATAATTATCATGGCTAAAATGCTTTAATATGACAAATCACTAGACCCCTTCCGATGATGATTTGTGGTACCAGATTTGCGTGGAAAAAAAAGTTAAACACACCTGAATGCAAAGTTCCTCCACATGTTTCAAATGTTCAGAACAAAAAGAGGCATTGCGTCAATCGTTTAACGTAAGTTTGAATTTAAACAATTTAGTTTTAATTACCGAGCGTTTTTGTTGCTTATTCGTTCCAACCTATCAAGAAAACTTTCAAGGCTAAAATTAGCTCAAACACTTGCGCATAATATACAAAAGGACTCATCTTTTCATTTTAACTATAAAACATAGCCAACTAAAAGTTGGAAAAGAGTAATGAAAGCATGGAAACAGAAAAAAAAAATTGAAAAAACCTACTCAATTTTTTTTCAAGAACTTCAACTTTCGAATTTCAAAAAATATATATATACCTTTAAATCTTTTCGAATTTTACGAACAATTTCTGATTGGTGCTTTTTTGATAAATTTACCCCATTTTGGGAAAACTGGATCAATAGGTAAAGTTTTTATTTCGCTGGTAAGTCTAATTAAATTCCATTCTCGAAATTAGAAGTCTAGCGCTTTTTCGTGACCTTCACAATTTTGCTGTTCGATAGAAGAATTTGTCTTATTTTTAACAAAAGAAAAGCATTGAATTTAAAAATAACTCAAAAGTCAAATTGCAAAAAATCAAAATTGAGCGTGAACAAATTTTAAGAACTTTTCCTGGAAAAGTAATCACCAAGAGCTATTTTAGAGTACTCGCTATGTTAATTGCTCTTCATAATTTAACCTAACTTAACCAAAAAGGCTAAAAATCTGATACTGGTAAGAACTTTGCCCCCAGACAATCATTTGTCTGGCTGAACTCATGATAAAATGAAAAGTCTAGTTAGCCAATTTGAAACAACTCACGAGGGGTTGATTTGGATGCTCCTGCCAGGAGGGTTACTTCAGCTTTTTCTTCTCCCTCATCCTCCTCGTCCACCCCATCTGCCAGCCACTGACTGCAGTAGAACACAGTCTTCTCATCATTGTGCTCAACAACTACCTGAAAAAAACAACAGGGGCAAAATTAGAAAAGGTGCTAACTTTACAAATGTCGTTTTTTCAAAAGCATCAAACTCATTGGCACGCTGTGTATAATATATTGCATGTCAAAAAAACTGGCACAGAGGCGAAGCGATACAAAACAAATGCTTGCGATACAAAACAAATGCCAAAAAGCGAAATAAAGAGTCTCAAACGAAATGTGAATAACTGAAATGAATTCTTTTGAGAAAATCGTAGGCTGAAAAATAACAAATTTTTTTTATTTCAGTTGTTTTTAAGTCAATTACCTAAAACATGAGACGGATTCGGGCAACACAAACTCCATTTATTTCTCTTTCATTACCAATAGATGGAAACGCTCAGAAAAAAAAATGGTAAAAAATCAAAAAGTTCCCAAATGTACTCAAAAACTTCGCTCAAAATCTTGCCACCAAACAACCTGCGTATGTTAAAAAAAACTGATTATGAAACTCAGAAACTCAACAAGAAAAATTGCCACATACTAAAAGAGAAATGAAAATGAACGAAAATTTTTTTAAAAACCCAAAAGAATGAATGCTTAAGTTTTAAACAACAAGTCCCAAGTTTGAACCACTTACATCAACATATGAAATATGAACTTGATACTTAACGTTAAAAGAGCTGGATTACAACAAAAGATCTAACAAAAAAAAGAAAAAAACTGCCCGTAAAGGCAATAAAAAACGCTTCAAGTAAAAGCAAATTCAGTTTTTTTCTCAAAAAATTCAGCCGGAGATTCTACGTACTCAAACAGTCCAGTCAAAATTGCAAAAAAAAAGAAAGCAAAACTGCAAGAAACGTATGAGTTTTTCTTCGAAAACTTTTGACAAATGAACACAATACGCTACGTCATCAACTTGAATCGATTTAAAATAACATTTCTCAATCCTAAAAGACACCAAAAAAAATGAACACTAAAACTTATTCCACGCAATTTTAGATTAAACATAAATCAGAAATCTTGCATCCGAAAAAAAGCTAAAAACTTAATGCACATTTTTTTTCTTTCAATAAAAGTTTTTTCAAGCAGAAATTTGGCATATATAAAATACCAAGAAAACATATATTACTTTCACCCTTATGAATTTTTTTGAAATCAAGTGACAATTACTCCAAAAAAGTTACAGAAAAAAACACTCGGCTAGTAAGCCAACAAAAATTGGGACGAATCATTAAGCCGACATAAAAATCAATTGATATCTGAAAATTTTCTGCGATCCAGATATTCACATAAAAAAACTATGTTTTCCTTGAAACGATTCAAAATTCTAAGCCGATACATCATAAGCCGAAATCATTTAGGGAATAAAGTTTTTGAGCGAAAAAATTATACGAAACCAAAGGCTAGTAAATTTACACAGAACAAAAGTAACTCAAGAGCTAAAAGCAACAAAACTGTGAATTGCGTACAGCAAAAAAAAACATTTCTACAATTTGGCATCTAGGCCGACAAAACATAAGCAGATAAATAATAAGCCGACATTTTTTTTAAACGGAATATTTTCCGTTTGAAAAAAAACAGGTCCTGTCAGATTCGAACCCAGGACCTTTGCCGTCCCAAGCGTATTCATTAACAGCAGACCAAGCATGCCGGAGATGTCAAGAAATTTGAATTGATTATGAACTGAACCTAAGTTTACCATTCCTAATTGACGATTCTGTGAACAAAGTTTTTAATTGAAAAATGTCTAGTACCCGATTGCAATACCCTTGCTGATCGCATGGGGCCAAAATAATTCAATCTTAACAGCTGTTTTTTCAATATTCCTCTAATTGGAAGATCAAACTTTTCTAGTTGGTTTGTAAAAATTTTAATTATAAATTTTTTTATTTTAAAAACTTGAAAAATTGCAACGCTTTTTCGCCCCTGTTTTGACATCAAAAATGTAGCACATGACATGCTAACATATTACTAAACATCCATCAGAAAATGAAGGGAGTCGATCAATGAAACTTTAAAACTTTAAAGTCAAGAGCGAAAAAGTTTCAAACTTTGAGGGGTTGGGTTCAACCAAGCCACCAAATTTTAGGGCGTTAGGTTCAACTGTGGTTCAACTAAGATTTTAAGACATAGCCGTCAAAAGGGCGGCATGATGATGTCTCTCACTTGGTGATTAAATAGTAGAAAAGTCCAGTTTACGAGGTTTCCGGTTAAACCACTTTTTGGGCACTTCTATGAACCTCAAATAACGCTTGTACGCCATCGAGTTTGTTGACTTACCAAATTACTTTCAGCCTTGATTCTAATTCTAAAACATGAAAAAGTTGCAATATAGCCAACAAAAAATTGGAAAAGTGTGAATGAACTCGAGGAAACCAAAAAAGAAAGGAAATTTTAATAATTATTTTAAGAAACAATATCAACAAAGTCGAAGCGATGCTTCACAATACTTGCAATAATTCTCAATCTTTACATGGAATTTAAGCCGAAAGGTAGATTGGACGACAGCTACTTAGCCAAAAAAATTTCTCATAAAAATTATTGCTAGCAATAAAACATAATTTATCGGCCGGTGACTAAGCCGACAAAACTTGCACAGACGCCGCTTGTGACAAAAAACTCTGTCATAAAATTTTTTGAGCTGCAAAAAAATCAAAACTCGAAGTTCTCACTCTCAAATTCTGCCCACGCATAAAAGGAAAAAATATATCGCTCTCCAAGCGACACAACTTTAGACGATTAAGATGATGTAGATATTAGCAAAACCTTTAAGGCCGAATAAACAAATTAAGCAGAAAAAGCAAAAAAAAACTAAAAAGAACTAAAGTCGGAGTTGATTTACAACCAACATAAACACAAATTTCGAACAGAACGAAAACTCAAATGTAGACGAGCTCAAAAGGTCAGGTACCAAACTGACTAAATTTTCCCCTATTTTGAGATAATAGACTTTTTTGTATTTGTGTAACGTCATCATTAGTTTTGAGAAAAAAAATCGATTTTCAAAAAAAAATTCGTCTTAGTTCAGTTATTTTACCATCATGTAATTTTTCAACCCGCGAGTTCAGATATATCTTTCATGTTTTTTTTTTTTTGCGCCGAGCATGTGATTTTGCTATTTGCGAGCGTATTTCTTTTTCTTTTAGCAAATGAATAAGAATTTAACTTAAAAAAATAAAAAGTTATAATAAAAAAATGTTAAAACTTTTTACTGAAAAAAACGAAAAAAAAAATCCAAAATACGTATCTTCACTTCGTTCATTGACACTTGAACTTGCTCAAATATCAGTGTCTTCATTTGATTCAATGGCACTTCAGTACAATCAAAATTCCGTGGTGTAATCTAACCTTGTCTAGAAACCAAGCCGAGTTGAACCCACTACCATCATGAGATATCTTCAGTTTCTCCAGTGGACCCAACTCCTTCATCTTCAGGTTGAAAGAGTCCTTCTTTCCTCTTTCGAAGTTGTCTTTCAGTTTCTTGTCCAGTTTCATCTCTCCGGAATCTCCCGACTCCCCGAACAATGTTACGGTGACGTTCGCATCTGTGCCGGCGCCTGGCTCGTCGCCAGTGTATACAGTGAATTTGTAATCCACTTCTATACATTAAACAGTTAATTGAATAAAAACAACTTAATGAATTATGACTGAACGATAAAGAAATCGAATTTCAGCAAACTATTTTTCATTTGCTCTAGAGCATTTCATACCTTGGCAGAAGATTGAAAAAATTATTAGAAAAAAACTCTTGGCAGAACCGTATAATTTTTTAAACAAGGAAAAATGCCCCCGGTAGAAAACGGGATTTATATCAGATCTGAAAGATACGATTCTTTAAATACAATTTGTTTCACTCCATGTGTAGCATATGATGTCATCTCACCTTCGCTGAAACAAAAAAGCAATTACTTAGTTGAGTTATGAACACTTTGAGTTTCCAAAACAGTAAATTATACTTACTCTTCAGCGGACGATTCCTGGAAGTCTTCGTCGTAATCATCGTCAGCTGAAATAGTAATACCACACTCAGTACGTTAGACTCTCCAAATCAACGCATTGATTGAATTATTCATTGTTACGACCACGTCACTAACTGACTGAAGAGAATTATAGCGTAGGCTTGCATTTTTCGCCCAATATTGGGTTTTTTAGCGGAAACTCGTAAGAGGTGGGGTCAAAAGTGGTATCATATAAAAACGCTATAGATCGTCGTCATTGTGAATTAAAAAACTTTTTAAAAAACCTTAAAAGTTGTCCCATTGTCGAGAAAAAATGGCCTGATTTCACAAATGACGGCACTATGAGAGAAAAAAACTCTCAATCTTTAGTTGCCAATTTGTTAGCAATATTGGTGACCTTGAACAAACTAATCAGTCAAACATGATTGTTTTAGGTTAATGATTGTTTTAGGTTAAAAAGAGTGAAAAATGAAATTCAGGCGTCGAAATGAGCAGTTTTAGATAAAAATACTATTGTTCACATTCGTTGACCGGAAAAGATATTGCTAATAATTTGGCATTAACTATAATTGTAAAACCAATTAGCTATTATTACACCTCAATTTTGCAGCTTTTTAGCCAATCCAACCGCTGAAAAAAAACAATGGAAAATTTTTTATTTTTCGAGTTTGATTACATCATTCATTTCGATCAGAGTATTCAGATGTGGCAACAAAGAACAATTTGTTATTGCTTTTTGTTAATATGTTAAAAACATACAGAATTAACAAGTGGCCAAGTGATGTAAATTTAAATAGCCAAAATACAGCTCAATGACATTATAAGAAACACATTATTGAACTTACTTTTCTTGAGAGCCGCCTCCGCCCTGCACCTGTAACACATGCCCTCATTGTTCTCACTCTCCGTCTTTCCAAATGCGAATCTGCCCAGCTTGCCCCCCAATCGCACGAAGGGTCTGCCCCCCTTGGGACAGTGTTTGAACTCGCAGCAGGTGCTGATTCTGGAGTCTGCCTTTCCGTTGATGTAGAGGGTGATGCTGAAAGGGTAGCCTCGGTGTCGCTTCGATTCGAACGCGAACTCGGCTGAAACGAAGCATAATAAAATAAGTTTGATTATATTAACTGCATCGAATTATTTTTATGCTTTCATTCCAATTTTTTGAGAAATTAACAATACGCAAAACATTTATATAATGACCGAGTATTTGTGACCTGTATTTTTTTTCGTCAGAAAAATTTGACTTTTCAACAACCACTGAGTTTTTTATGTCATCTGAAAACTATTCACGTCCCGAGCTCAAGGATATTTCATCTCCGATCATTTTCGTAAAAATAAGGGGGTTTGTAAAGTGTCAATTTGGCAGATGACGCATAAGAGAATTGTTTAAATCGGCTCAAAAAATATTGAAATTGAATTGAGACAATAGCGTGTCACGGATATTTAAAAAATAAATTAAAAATAGAATTTTTTAAATAATTTTTCAAGTTTGTATGAAACTGTTAGTCATGAGTTTCAAAAAACAAAGGGATCATGTTAACTACCCCCCCCCCCCTCCCCCTATTGCAATAGGTGGGAAATAGCTAACAAGGTTTGGATGAAATTTATTGAAATAACGTCAACCAATAGGAATGCGAATTGAAATAACGTCAACCAATAGGAATGCGACAGAGCACATTTCTGAGAAATACAAAACCAATCCAGTCGAGCATAAATGAAATGTGTTTTTATGGGGGGGGGGGGGGGAATTATTTACAAGGTACCATAGGGGGGGGGGGGGATAGTTAACATGATCCAAACAAAGAATCAGTTTCTTATTCCAATAACACTGCCGCTTTTTAAGGCAAGAAATAATTATCACATTTTTTTGGTTGGCTGATAGATTCATGGTCGTGATTAACAAAAATTAGTCTAAAAATGAAACAATTCAAGCCGATTTCAAATCAACAGCGAGCTGCTAATATCAATGAGAGAAAAATTACTGGAATTCAATTAACGTTCATCTGTGGTTCTTGATTTGGTATGGGAAGATTTGGCTGAATTCAAGTTTTCATGTCCGAAACCAAAAACGTACCGCGCCGTACCCACTTTCGGGCTTTTGAACAAAAATATATTGCATTTTAGCCACTGCGGTTTTGAAGCATCCAATTTGTACTTATGCAATAAATAGCAGGATTAAAACACATTTATAAAGGAAAAAATTTGAAATTAATAGAACTTGGCACATTTTTTGCTTTAAAGAGAAGAGAGACCATACCACATATTAGTTTTAATGCATTCAAAATTGAAGATTTGATGCACTAAAAACTAACTTCACGCGGTTGGGCATTAATTTTAGCATTTTACAAGCCGAGTTTACTGTTTTATAACCATAATGTTATTATATTATAAAATAGAAAAGAGGATTAGATGGTATTATCAACAGGATATCTTCAGACTGCAATGCAGGTGATTTGTGTTGGATTTAAGGAGCAAAACAATGCTCTTATTTCCCAACAAAAAGCACAAAATGAACATGAAATGGTAGCCAAATTTAACTGGCTCTGTTTGCGATTATATTAACGAGTATAAGGAAACAGTTGGCTGTTGCCAAGAATCAAGCTTGGAAAATTGAGCAAAAAACATCAATGAAAACGATTGAACGCAAAAGGTTCAAGATGAAAAGATGGCGAACTTTCATCATTGCAGTGGGGAGGAACGCGTGTTGGCTTCAATTTCAAAAGGTTTGCTGTTCGGAACCTGTTCGACATTTTAAAATTTGATAGCATTCTCTTGCTAAAAACAATTTAACAGAAGTCATCCGCCGCCATCTTCAAAGCACAGTAATGAGCTAAACCTTTCTTATTTTGGTCTTTTCTTTCAAGGACAGGTGATTACAAAAGGCAAAGAAACAGGCATCTGATATACTTGAAAAAATTCTATTCTTTTTGTCAACTTCGAGATGAAAACCTCGAGCTGATAGAGTTTTCACGCATACAACAACTTACATGAAAAAAAAAGTTATGCTTATTAGTTGATACTTATGTTTTATCAATTTAAACAGCCAAATAGAACTACGGCCATTCATGTTTAATCTATTAATTAGTTTTCTATTTTTGCACAGCAGTGTTGTCAACAAAAACACTCAAGAAGTCTTTGGCATAGGTGATACTCAAACTCGATAACTCTTAACTCATTTAATTACCAAAGCTTTAACGTCTAGGTAAGCTTTTTGGGAATTTTACGACAATTTGACATTCAATTCATCTTTTAATTTTAAGTAAATTCCAAAACAAAAAAGGCTAGCTATGCAAGTAGCACAGAATGTTCCGACCAAATAGAACACATAAAAAAGCTTTTCCTTGTTTTTTTTTAATCCGTTTTGTTTTTTGAGCGTCGTGTGATGAAAGTATCTGACGAAAATCTAGAAATTAGGCATATTCGAGAGTCACAGTAAAATAGACAAATCGGGCAACGGTTTCAGTCGAAAAATGACAAGAAAAAAAACGAAAACAATCAAAAAGTTAAAGTTTCATGGCCTATACTTAAAAAATAAGCCAGCTCGCTTGCTTTTTTGCTCGAAATTAGACTAAAACTCAAACTTTCGAACCGTTTTTCTGGACACTGGAAAATTTTTCATGGACATTCTTTACTATTCATGGACGAATCACGACTGAAAGTGCTTTACTATGATATATCACTCAAACAAGTCCGATGCTTATTTGAGATACCTGATTTTGCGTAGAAAACAAAAAAAGAAGCAAAAAACTAAAACACACCTAAATACAAAGCTCCTCCCCATTTTCAATGGTCCAAACAACAAGCATAAATTGTATATTTTTGCTGTTTTGTTCGATTTTCGCTGTTTTCGATAATTAATTATCGCTACCATGAAATTCAACTTTTTACCAAAGAAAATTTTTTTTTTATGTTTAATTTATCAGGGAAAGACTTAAAAAGGAAGAATCAGGGAGAACTTAGAAAATTGATAACCTTAAAGTAACGGTATCAAAGCCAGATTAAGTTAATTTTTTAATCGGCAATTTGCAAAGTTGAGCTCTTGTAAGAAACAACCATAGCCTAGTTAAGCTTAAATAATTAGCCTCAAAAGTAGGCCTCCGGCTTGTCAGCTTTTAAAAAATTCGAACAGATGATCTGAAGTGAATCAGACTGACAAAAAGTTAACTGTGCGCATTAACTGATACTTCAGTTGTGATACACACCGTAGCAAAACACTACTTAATTAAGATGCGATCTGATTAACTAACTGTCCTTGAACAGCTGGCCTCTGAACACTGGGAAAGTGTTTCCCCCACTGAACTGCTGGCTGAGCAGGATTTCATCCGGCTCCTCCTCCGTCAGACCCAGATTGACCCCTGCCTGCCCCAGGTACTTCATGCACACCTTCACTTGGGTCTCACTCCTGCGTGCATGTTGCACTTCGTCATGGGGAGGGTGGAGACTAACAACCTGTGGCAAAATCTTTTTAGCGAAAGCGAAAAGAAAAAATAATTGATAAAAAAATTGAGCGAGACAGAAAACGCTAAATTCCCTATTATTTATCAACAAGTTTTGAATATTTTGAATATTTATTTGAAATGGTTATTATATATGAGAGTGGACGGAAAGAAAACAATAATTTCACGGTCTGTCAAATTTTTTTTACCACTAAATAAGTAGAACTGTAAGTATGCAGTTTTAGAATTATTTTTGCCTTGAAAATTATCACTCAATAGTTTTCTTGTATTTAATTTTAAAGAGATATATTAAAATACTTTTAAGAACCCAACAAGAACTATTTGACTACAGTCCTCATGATAATGATTTGATATCATCAACAAACTTTAGAAATGACTATGACTATAATACTATCTCTGCAATGAGAAGAAAAGAGTCAGACCAAAAGGCAACTCCTTCTATTCGAATAAAATACCTGCTTGGGTGAAAGTAATAACTTTCTGTGATATTCAGCCTGAAAATTCAAACATTTGATTTGAATATGATCACAATTTCATGCAGAGCTTCAATGAACATGAAGAAACTACATCTACAAATACTTACTTTTTCGGGTGGGTATCTTGACACAGTACGACGCTCCTCCTTTATTTCGGGAAAATAATGCTGCAGATACAGAAATTGAGAATACTTACAAGTTAAGGCAACAAAAATATATGCATCAGTACTCTTAGTGTCAACTAATAAACTGCAGTTATGATAACAATTGCGGCAATTTGTTAAACTTACTCGTCTGCCGCCACGTGATCGACCTGTGTTGTTCCTCGGAGTACCAGCAGTAGAGGATCTCTGTCCTCTCGGGGTCTGCGGAGGCACTGGTTCCACTTGAGGCAAAACATAAGGCGACACTCCACTCATGTAGTCAATATTTGTCAAACTCATTGTGAACTGCCTCAACGCACGAGGAGTCAACTATAAATTCAAAATGAAGTTATACTTTTTAATTGGGCAGAGAGAAATTAAATTGATGAACATGCTGTACCCTTGATAGATATTGAGAATCGACTACTTCGTCGTTTCTTTTGAAAACGGGGAGTCCATTGGAGTCAATGTCAAAGTTTGACCTATAAATCAGAGTCAATAACACAAGAAATAGACAATAAAATAATCTCAAAACAGCCACTAACTTAGTTGATTTAGTAGACTTTCCGGATTTTGGTCTCGATGAAGGCTCTTTATGGCCACTTTCATCGCTTGTAAATCCATTTTCCTTCTCCTCGTTTTGTCTGCTGGACTTTCTGCGCTCTGAGGTAGCTGAAGATGCCGACTTTCTGGGTTTTGCGCGTGGCGACATTAAGCTTAAGACGTCTTCATCTCCTTTCAAAGAGCGCTCGGTCTTAAAAACAGATTGTTGTAAAAACATAAAGATATCTCTTGCCGAAGCAATTTTTGTAGTTGTACCAGACAGTTTGTTGAGCAGCGAGTCAGAGAGCAAATGAAACCTTCAGAAATAGACCAACAATTTATACTCAAAAGTCCAAAAAAGAGGAAATCTAGCTAATCAAAAAAGAAATTATGGAGAACGTTTTAACACATTAAATATTGCATTTATGGGACAAAATGAGGCATCATTTGAAGCTCATGTTTATTTATAAAATGCAACACTGAGACAATCGAGTGAAGATAGGCGCATGTATTTCGAAAATTAACGCAGCAAACTGAATTAATAAAAAAATTTGTTATCAGTTCAATTTTCCAACTAGGTTTTTATTTCGATTCCAAAATTGATCTTTACCTGAGACTGAATAATGAAACAAGTTGCGTCAACACTGTGCGTGAATTCAGAAGAATTTACACTTAAACAGTGAAATTCAGATTTTCAAATCAGGTATTTCATTGAAAAGGTATTGAGAGGAACAGTCTAAGAAATTATTCAACCAAAACCAAATGATCATTCAAAATTCAGGTTGATTTCTGTTGATTTGTATAAATACCTTAACACGCTCGACCAGCTCTTTTTTCGCCATATCTTCAAGTCGGTTTCTGATCTGGATCTGGCGTGTTCTCTAGAAAACGGTAAGTCACGCATGAGGATGCAGCCTAATTAATCATACTGTTGGATACAACATTTTAAAAACTCATGCTAATTACTTCAAGGTCCAAAGTTTTGTGGACAATTGCTTGGGCTAATAGTTCTCTGACATGTTTCTTATGTTCGCGTCTTGCATGCGAGATCCTGAACATTTCCTCTGATACCACTTCTCCTTTTTTGGTGATCTAAAAAAAAACTTTCTGGAACAGGAACAACTCAGTAGTTCATTTTTGATGAAAAAAAGTTCAAAATTTCTTTAATATACTATTTTCGGAACTGAGCTCACAGTAGATCCAGATGTACATTTTAATTGATACTATTAACAAATTTCAAACAGATTATGAGTTGTCATGAGGTATGGTATACTGAAAATTGTATGTTAGCCTCTGAATTTTTATCAGAATGGCTAGCCGAATGATGAGCCAACACACCAGATTATTCCGACCTCACTCAATGGAAAGAAAACGCAAATAGTAATTTTATCACCTTTAAAAATCATTTCTTTTTTTCCAAATTTTCCTTATTAGTTCTTTTTTCTAGCAAAAGTAATTGAACATCTGCGGCTTAAATTGAAATCAGCGGTATTAAATAGTTATTACAATATAAATGTTAGCTTGAAAATTAGCCTGTGAAGGTCAGCCTGTAATAAAATTACTGTCGACCTCAATCTTTTAATATTTGAAAAATCCGAGTCTACACAGAGACAGCTTTTTTCGGGAAAAAATGGAATCCGAACGAGAGCTCGAAAGGTCTTCATTATGATAGCACATTTGACCCATTACAAGCTTTCTTTGAGAGAGTCATAGTCGGTTAAATATAAACAGAACCTACGCCATAGTTTCTTCACAACGTTTTTGCAGACTTGTACACTTTGCATATCGTAGGTATAAGCAATTTAAAAAAACAACCTAAAAAGAAAAATTAAAAGAACCACTTACTAATCCCATTCTTCGCAAATGGCGCTGTGTTCGCGCATTTCGAAAGAACCCACAGAGGTGCTTATCAGTTAGACTGTTGTAATTAGCCAGAGGGCTGAAAGAGAAAAAAATTGATTAGGTGAGTTAAATTTTAACTAATTGAATGATTTGAATGATACTCACCCAGCCTCTGACGAGCTCATCTTCAGTGAAAAGGAAATGAATGTGTTCGGTTGTTTAATCTATTCAATTTGAAAATAATGCCTTACATTAGATTTCAAGAACCTTAAGGGACAGATTTCGGTATTTAAGAACTCACATGCGAAATTCCGATTTCTTTTTTCAATCGAAAAATTATGTTCACTAATTGAGAAAGAATCGAAAGCAGAACCTTCTTCATTTGACTTTAACAAAAGAAAATGTCAATCAGCCCAAAAACTGGCACAGGCATATCGAAGTTGTGCTTCTGATATACTGCAACAATTCCTCACAACAATGCCACCGAAGATGGCAATCTCAAAACAATGACTTTGACGAAAGATGACCGCAAACTGCATACACTGACAATTATTGCTCCCCCCGAAGCAGAGCAATTTACAACCAGCATTAAAGCGAAGGAATCATTCTAGTTAACAGGACGCTAATTCCCATAGGATGCTTTCCAAGGTCTCCTAGACTCAAGAGCATTTACCCTAATTTAGCCAAAATCAAATTGTCGAAATTAGAAAGAATCGGAAGCAGAAACTTCTGCCATTTGACTTTCACGAAAGAAATTGTCAGGTCAGCCGATAATCTGGCGCAGGCATATCGAAGTTGAGCAATTCCTCACAACAATGCATTAGAAGATTTCAGGGTGCCGCCGGACCTAGCACTGAGATTTTTCTGAATAAGCTTTGAAAGAACCCAGGGCAGGTAGTATTCTTAAGCAGAGAATCTCCCTCACAATAAAGGCTGCGAACGCTGCCTGTGTACTGGGCACTATTAATGATAAAACAATTTCGAAGAAAATTTTTATTTTTAATAGCCCTATAGTCCAACATGAGACCTGTATGGTAAATGAATCGGTTCAGTATGTGTATTCAGGAAAAGGAAATTAGAAGTTAAAAACAAGAGGAAGAAAAAGAGAAAAACCTGACGGAGTGGTCTTATAAATCGAGAATGGATGGCTTTAAAATATGGGAAGGTGTAGAATTCTCGTTTCAAATATCTTCACTACATGACTGTCAAAAATGCAAGATCTTTGGACGCCAAAAAAGGGTCATCACGATGATTGGTGCTACATAGAAAAACCAACAAACCAATAATCAGTCCCCAGAAAAACCAATTCCAATGATGCCAGCGATGTGACATTCGACCAGAATGG